TCGAGTCCCTGCACCCCGGGGCCCTCAGGATGGCAGCTGTCGGGGCGCTGACCCGGCCGCCCTCGCCCCTCTGCTGTAGCACCCGCTGGTCCTCTGCCAGTCTGGCTGACTTGCAGCCCGCATCTTCCTGCGTGTCGGCAGATTTTGAAGGACGCGTGGGGACGCTGCAAATCCGTGCTCGCTTCGGCGGTTCCCACGCGGCCCCTTGCGGCAGACGGGCGGCGCCCCGGAGCCCTACCGGTTGGGATCGGGTTACGGTGTCTGCCGCTCGGCGCACGCTTGGAGAGGCTGATCCCGAGGTCAGGCAGGCTCGGTTCCAGGGCCTGCTCCGCGGAGCTCTCCAGCTGGGCGGTCCTCAGTTTGTGTGCCTGTAAAGTGGGGCTAATGAGTACCCTGGAAGGGGTGGAGGAGGGCTAAAGGAGAGTGTGCGTTCATTGCGCGGCACGGTCATCCATAAAACTTGGGGCCATGTTGATCCTCTGTTAGAATCCCCCCCACCCCCAGTCTGCTTTTCCGCATTCTCTATGCTTTCAAACCCCATTTGAAAAGACCTGGGGGAGTACTGCTGTTTTTAGCCGCGAACAGGACTTGTTTGACTTGGCCTTCAGTGTAATTATACTTATCTAATCGCCCCGCAGCTCCTTTTTATGTGTTTGAATTTCCATTAGGTTTTCGTTGTTTCTCCTTCCTTCTTCCTCAAGACTCAGGCCCCAACCTGGGCCGGGAGGAGGAGGAACCGGGTCAGCTGGGCAGCTGGGGCCAGCGAGCCAATGGCTGCTCTGGGAAGTGACTGCCCTAGGGTGGTGGGAGGTTTGAATAAAGAGCTGTCTGCGGACTGGGAGACAACCCTTCCTAGGCCAGGTGAAGTTTAAGTTCTGCCTTGTAGCAGAAAAAGTTTGCTAACTCTCTCTCGGTTCCAGAATGGGCTCTTTCGTGCCTGGAAGTAGAGTTAGCAAGAGAAGGTGACTTTGAGTGGTAAACGTGGAAATCGCTAAGTAATTATCTTTAAATAGAGAGGAAATAGCAGGAAGGCGAGAGAGAACCAGTTGGTTGAATATATTAAAAATGCTGTCAGTGTGTTTTGACCAGGTTTTTTTCCGATCCAGCTCTGTACTGCTGATTTCCTTTGGGCTGAAAGAAAAGCCAGTATCACATTGGAAAACTGAAGAGCACAGCAATAACAACCCATAGTGAGATAAATAGTTTAAAAAACACACTGTCTCACGGTATTACAGCAGGGGCGCTCCCTGCTTCCTCACCCTTTTGCCTGCTGGGACAAATTATTGAGCTGGGTCTAACAACATGGCCTTTTGCATGTAGACTCCAGAGGCTCTGCCAGCCCCAGCAAGCAGCAGATGAACACTAGGCAGAGAGGCTGCAGGTCGGTAGCCTGGTGGTAGACATCGGTGAATGAATGTGGTAACAAATGATTCCAGTCCTTCCTACACTTGTCTGGGGGGATTCTCTGGCCCTTGAGATGTCCAAGGTCTCTCTCCCTCCTGCTGCTGTCTGGGGACCAGATCCACTGGGGGGAGTCTAAAGTTAAAAGAGAGAGCATATTGCAGATAGGTAAGTGGATTACATATCTTGCAGGCGGTTAGACAGGGCCGCCCTCTAGGAGCCAACATGAAGGACAATCCAGACACATTTACTGAAGGCCAGAATTGTAAAAGGAGAGAAACTGCTACACCCTTGTGCTTCCCCTGGGGATAAATAGCAGTGATTGATATTCTAAATATGTATCAATCACCTGGGTGGGGGGGCCAAGGTCTTAATCCAGCTTTTCCAGGAAATATCCCTGACCTCCACCCTTATTGAAAATCCTTGTATGCTTGTCACGTGACTTGTTCTCCCATTTGACCCCCACTTAATCAATATCACCTGGGTGACTGTACCTGTAATCTTATTGGTTGGTCATGGTTTTGCCCCACCTCATGCCCACCTTGTAATTTTCCACTGGGTCTTAGAGTTTTGTCCCACTTTGTACCCACCTCACCATATGGCTTTGCTGTATAAAACATCTTGGAGAAGTGGGGTGAGCGGGCAACCCACTTTCCGGTCCCCCTTCTGTCTCTCTTAGAAGCTTTCTTTTCCTCAACAAATTTTTTCTATGCTTAACCTCTGTTGTTCCTAGAATTCATTCTTCGATTTTAGAGAACAGGAACTTGAGTTTCGGATAGCGAGCAGGTGTGGGAGTTACATCTGTTCTCCCTCTATCAAGTGTGGCTAGGAGATCTCATTAGCTGACAGTTTAACTACACTCTAATGCTCATCCAAAGACCCAGGACCGAGACCTCCCTTCCTTTCCCTCTGTAGTTCTCATTTTCCCCTCCACCTGTAAAGAAAGGAAGAGCGCACTGTTCCCATCTCCCTCCAGAATGCCAGCAGTTCTGGCTGCTGCTTTCTCGCTCCTTTCCCCAAGCTTTGCTGATGGCCTACTTCGTGTGCAAGTAACATCTGTCAACACGAAGAAAGTGTGCAGTGCTCTGAGCACAATGGTGCATGTCTTTAATCCTGGCTACTCAGGAGGCTGAGGCAGGAAGATCACAAGTTGCCAGGCTGGGCAACTTGGTGAGCTTACACTCAACATTATAAAAAACAAAAACAAACAAACAAACAAAAAAGCGGGCCGGGATGTAGCTCTGTGGTGTACAGTGTCTGCCTTCTTTGTCACAGCCCTGGGTTCAGTTCGCATCACTGCAAAAAAAAAAAAGTTTAATACAAGGCCGTGATTCCCACACAGGACTGAGTTGAGTAGGAGCCACTTGTACTCACTCGTTGGCTGGAAATGAGCCTTGACTGCGGCTCTGCCTATCTGAGGGGTGCAGAGGGTTGAAGATGAGAAGCCCGAAAGAGAATGGGGTCCACTGGACAGTGTGGAGGTGTCCATGGGCCATTCTGGTGGGCGAGAAAGATTGTCCTCACTGTCTCCAGTTACCTGGTCTCCTGTTTGGAAGCCAGTTTTGTTATGTATCTGCATGTACGTGTACTGTCAAGGCACAAGCCATTTGGCTTAGCCACGTTAATTGGTTTTTCCTTCTATTTCTCTATTTACTTATTTTTGGTCTTTTGAGACAGGGTCTCGCTGTGTAGTCCAGGCTGGCCTTGATCTGGCTTCAATCCTCCTGCCTCAGCTTCCAGAGCAGTGGAATTACAGGTGTGCACCACTATGCCCCGCTAACGTGTTTTGTGTGATTTTCCTGTGTCAGAGAGAAAAAATGTCCCATCATCACTGTAGGTAGCTAAGTCACGTATTTGAAAAAAGTGAAAGAAAAAGGAGGCACTCAGAAATGAAGCCGTATTCAGCAAGGAATGGGGTGTTTCGAAAGCCAAACAATGTTCCAGTGTGTAAAGGTGCACAGTATGAACACGGGACCTCTCCCCTTCCGTCCCCCGCACGCACAAGACTTTCCTTGTTCCCGGGTCTCCGGGGACCTCATTAAGACGTTCAGGAGGACCTGGGCTGTAGGTGTGGAGAGGGGAGTGCGTGCGTGTGTGCGCGTGTGTGTGCATGTGTGTGCATGTGTGTGTGTGTGTGTGTGTGTGTGTCTCCGTCTCCTTTTCTGCCCGCTGAGGCAGAGCCCCCAGGCCGTGTGAAGTGGAGGGGCCGGGGTGCAGCCCTGGTGAGGTCGGAGAGCTGAGAGCCCGGGTGGGGAACTCAGCCCCTGCCTCAGCCCGGCCAGGCCTTCTGAGTCTGGCTCCCGTCCTAAAGCTGTCCGCCTTAAGGGGCAGTGTGAAAAGTACTTCCATTTGATTTACTTACTTATTTAAAAAACACAGTTTTGGTTTATTTTTTAAAAACTAAATAATTATTTTTGGTACCGGGGATT